AGTCATCTAGGTGATATGATATGATATGATGCGATATGCATAGTCCTTCAATTTTTTTTCACTGAAATGATTCGAATATTTGCAATCAATTCTAGTTTAGTTAATTACTCATTAATTTTAACTTTTTTGAATATTACCAAAAAATTCAAAATCTGAGGCAATTTTTTTTTCGAATTCACTTAATATGCTATTTATGATGATGCCTTAATCATTTTTCATTTCATCATTACTTTTTTTTGAATCAACTTTTGACCTACCGCACATTTTCGATCCGATGTGGGAGATTAGATGGATGGCGATGTATAATTAGATCATTCTCATAATTTATTTAAATTTTTCAAGGAAAAGTCGCTAGTAAAGTATAGCATTGATTTGGATTTGTAAAATTGAAATTTTTAAAGATGACGCCAATGCATCTAACTGTGATAAATTTGTATGACTGACGAAGCGGAATTGTTTGTGTGTAGTACTACTATCATTTCATTGATTTAATTTTTTTTTTCCAAACTTTTTGTTCTTTGACTCATAAATTTTATTAAAACTAAATTATTTCCTGATAATCATTCTTCTCCTAATTTCAGTTTTCTGATTAAAATTTGAAATGTTTTCAAGATTACTGAATTTGAAAAGTTATGAGATAAGAAAAGAGAAATGCATGATCATTATAATCATCACTGTTTACCAAAAATGTTTTAGTTGTTCTCTCAATATAACTTTGGATTAATACAATTGTATCGGGGAAATGGCCAAAAACTGACTTCTCCACACCAACTTACTAATCATATCGTTTAATTCATTTGTTGCATTTATTGATTAAACTTTACCTTCTTAAGCTAAGAAAAGACTAGCTTAACTTCGAATTCGTTCAAGTTTCAAGAATTTACTTTAACCTTTGATTAAATTAGAAATTGTCACCAATTTTCGTTCTGCCATTCAGTTGCGCACATACACTCACGCTACGGTTTAATGGTTATATCCTTTTCTTCGCTACATTATGGTCGACATTTATTGTCGGCGCTCAATTTGTTTATGGCAGTTAAATATTCTTGAAATGTTGTGCAATAATACAATGTTTTTATAATTCGACTTGTAAATTCGTATAAAACTTGGAAATTCTAATTAAACTTGGTTTTATTTGTAAGAGTATTTGAAAAGCATAAATAGTAACAAGTCATAGAGCCAAGGCATCTAATCTGTTAATTGTTGGTAAGATGATTACTTGAAAGGTGCTATGAATGTTAAATACATCAAATGACTAACTGTTGGATATTGTAATTATCAATAACAACAGTATTTAATAACAGATTTTGATCATTCGTATTTTGATGTTAATTGTAGTTGCAGTCATTCTGGTCAAATAAAATTTAAGCAGTGTTTGGCTGAATATTAGAAGATTACAACTGCGCTTTGCTTATTCATTTCGAATTTTCTTTAAGAAAGTTGTAGGTCAAAATCCTGCGAAACTTTTCAATATTTTTGCTAAACAAAGGGCGCATTCTTATTTTACTGAGAAAAAAATTTTTTTTGCCACCGAGATTTACATTTATTCATAAGTATTTCCTTCAAACAAACCTTTAAATTAAATTAATGTCAACTAAATTAACATACAATCGAGAAGGGTTGATCTCAATAAATCATTAGGAGTTCCATTTCAGTACAAACCAATATATTGACCTCATTACTATGACCTTTTCTACACGAATTTATAGTTCTTCAAGAGGTAAGAAATTTGCATTCCATTACAAGTGTTGAAGGAAGTGTAATGGAACACCTCATTGTTTTTGTCAAATAGTGCAACAAAACAATAAGTACTTATATGCCAAACTGCGCTCCACGTTCTCCTTCACTTAATGGAGAGACGTTGTGGTTGGAGTATGAAAACATACCCAAATGGATTGTCAATTGTCAGGTGTGAAGAAGACGGAAGACAATAAACGGGAAAGGAGGGTGAAGTTTAAATTGGCATTTCCTTTCTAACTTCCGTACACTCTTTCCAATTGGATAATACTTCCCCAATTGTAAAATGGGCAACCAGATGAAATGGAAGGGATTCATATTATATTAGCACAGATAAGTATATATCATTATCTCTGCCTAAAATTCACCACTTACAGTAACTTAAGTTGTAGATCAACGAAATGTTCAAATATTCATCCTTCTGGTTCCTCTCGTATTGTAAGTTATTCCATGAGGCTAATACAAATAAAGTTTCAGGAAATGACAGCGCCAGTGCAGTTAGTTTCTTACCATTTATGGATTTGTTATCGGAGAAACTCTGGAAAACCATTACATTTAAGGTCCAATAACAAAGGAACCTGATATACCTGATAAGGCTCTTGTTAAAGGTGTGTCTGTGAGATAATGAATAACAAAAATCAGGCTTAGTGTTGCAAGGAAGCTTTCCTTCAATCTTGACTTAACTCATCATAAATGCGACAATAACAGGATGCAAAGTTAGCGAATTTTATATTTTACTTCAAAAAGTTTAGAAAAAAGCGGAAAAATATAAACACCAAATAAACAAAAACACGCATATTTTGAGTTGTAATGATTTATATAATTGAAGGACAAGGAGAAATTCATGAAGGATAGCCATGACCAGATACCAGATGAAATATCGTTTTGAATGAATTCCAACAGAAAATGAAACTTTCTCAGCCTTGAAGAGATTTCTAGAGCTCAGTCAAGATATCATGGCCTATAACAGAGCAGAAGTAAGATTTTTACCTCCCATAGGCAAAATATCTATAAAGGTCGGTGAAAATAAGAAAAAAAAATAGACATTTTAAAGAATGATTTTATAACATGCATTTTGAAAATTAACATATGGGACAAAACAATGGAAAATTAGAATTTGATTCAGATGTGTGGAAAAGGAAAAGAAACATATGAAGGTTGATATTTTATCCATATAAACTATGACCCATGGAAGTAAATTACGGAAGTTCATCCTTTAATTTCAAAAATTAGCCAACATCTGCGTCAATTATGGCCATGGCATAAACTAAATGATGAATTAAAGCGAGAAAAGCGATGTAGATGAAGAAAAGAACCTCGTCTTGTAGTATCACATAATCAACTATAGCGACACAGGAATGACGCATTATTCGACATATTAGGGAAAAAAAAACCGATAAAACCGATCACATATCCGTACGAAGTAAATTATATAATCTATATCCAACGCTGAAATAAATGCAGGAAGAGATAACGGTAAATAGAAATTCAATAAATTCCACTTCCAACTGACATGCATTGCTCAAGACACGTAATAGATCAAAACGTAGCATGGTTTGATACTTTACTTTCTGTTTGCAAACCATTGAAAGGACATAAATTCTCCGCTGTTATCAAAAAAGATATGTTTGTGTTAGGTAAATATATATCTTATCAGTGAGGAATGTATTCTAATAAATATTTAACTGATTGATGACAGGAATACAAGTAGAATGAATAGGATAAAACATTATGAATAAGTGCCAAGAGACAAAGATAAGCTCTTTAAGATGGTAAAAGTTAATAAGTCATAACGAAGTGAAATCAAGAAACGTTCTGAAGCAAAGCGATCATTTCGATCGTCCTTGATGAGAAAGAAACTGTTGGGACAGATCAGGATCTGTTTATATATGGGTTAGACCGGGACAAGAGGAGGGGGACAAAGCAAGGAGAATATACCAACTGAGGACAAATATTAGTTTTATTCATGTTTAACGAACAAATATTAAATATAGGAGAATTTGCTTAGTGTTTTACCCCCTTCTGATAAAGAAATAAATAAATATTTACTGTTCTGCACGTCAAGGTAAAGTAAGCCGATTGATTTTTATGTTTGTAGCTCCTCACATATGTAAATTTATCGAAATGTTTGAACACAAGGTATATTTTACAAACATTTAGTCCCTAAATTTCCTCTTTCCCTTTTCATTTTTTATACAAATCAATCAAACATTCACATAGCTAAATTTTTAATAGGGAAAAAAAATTTTTCCGAGCCTAAGCACTATAATAATGATATTGCATCTCAATCACAATACAATGCAACCAAAAATCGTATCCGTTATCTTACCTCTTTTTCCATTTCATAAAACATGTCTTCTTCCCATGTTTCTCTCAAATCTTTTTCCCTTTTGCAAACTTTATGTAAATGAGCAATAACTATTTTTGTTAAAAATTTACTTAACGCTCCAGAAAGAGAAATCAGTACATGCATATTTGAACGTACTTTGAAAATGTTTCTACATAAATTAACTACTTAACAAAAACAGGCTTATTTAAAAATTAAATCTGTGCTTGACTAGCTCTAATACTTTGCTTGTTTGAACAATGATGTGGTTTTCACAGTAAAATACTGGAATGAAATGTAAAGCTTCCTCTTCCGAGTACTTCAGGCTTAATTATTTGCTGTACCAATGGAACCTTTCAAAAGGAAATCCAATTTTTCAGTAACCACTTCCTTTTGACTGCTGCTCCCAACAACTTCGTTATTGTTGAAGTTAGCTAAAAACTAATTCCAAATACAGTAAACCAAGAGAATACCTCTCTCCAAGTACTACCATTTCCAAATAATAAAATTATCTCTGCACACAACTAATCTGCTTCAGCGTACTGTCCTTTATTATAGCTTAATTTCTTCATATAAAATCGTTTTGTTTTTTTGTTGACAGAAATCGATCGTTTTCATTTCTCATCCGAAAACTGTAAAGCCAGTACATGTAACTTCGTCCAGTCAATACATATACCTTCGTACACATGTGAACCGAATTTTCCTCCTCATTACTCTTCCCAACAGATCTTGAATTCTTTACCTTTCCGGAAATTTGCAAACTCAACATCATCTTGAAAAACTGTTTGAAAATAAGTTTCTGAAACTAGCCTATTTTTTAGAGTGTTTTGATACTGATCCAGAATCCCCTAAACTATCCATCCATCTGCGCATGGCTTTGTTTGTAGGCTAAGATAATCGAAACAACGAGAACGCAATATTGTTCCTTATGGCGGAATCAATTTGTATTCCTCCCTCGGTCACTCTCCAACCTCTCTGCGTTTTCCCGTCCCATTCCACCACCATCACGACGACGACGACCACCACCACCACCACCACCATCATCATCATCAATACTCTTATGCAAACAAAACTCGAGGAGTAAAGCAGTACAGTGCCACTCACGAAACATACAGATAAGCACTAAACCTATACCAAAACGACGGCAACAAGGACGAGAAGCTCGTCATCCGAAACCATATATCTCATACTTTTCCTAAAAGATCAAACTAAAAGGGTTGACAAAGAATCATTTAAATATGAATTAGAGCTTGAAACATCATGTTCAATTATCTAAACTTGCAGCATTTACATATATATAATGATCAAATAATATTTTAAATACTGCAAGATTATGAATAAGTATCTAATAAATATCGGTATATGTTTCAGAAAAGTAGCTTTCCAAAAGCATATACTTTCCACATTGTCGAATAAGCTTCAGAGCGAATGCAGTAAATTGACAAAACTGAGCACTATTTGATCTCAGCCAACGAAGGAAAAGAAATTCCAGAAGGGAAAATTTTTTGAGAAACAATAAAGAAATAACTTTTTTTGTTTATGGATACAAAATAAAGAAAAGACAAGTGTAAAATGGAAAAAATTGGGATTACAAAAACTAATTTACAAAATGAAAATGACACGTATCTGATTCCAAATTCACTGATAAAAGTGGTCCATCTTCAACAGAAATCTTGTAAAGAACAGTGTATAGGTAATCTGATTCGATAACTTCCATTTCATTTGCTCAACTATCACCAGCCAACTATCGAAATATAATTGAAATTAAATAAAAATTATCATTTTGATAGGATGAGAAATCTATTCAATAGAAAATTATGAAGAAAATGCCCTAGGGCACTAATTAAGATGTCCACATCAAAACGGATGAAGAAATACTTCAAACCGTCAAAACATCCTATACACAACGACTCCTCAGCGCTCTATACAATTCTCTAAGTGCTGAATGTGCGAAATATCTCATATACTAGAAGAAACTAAATACAGAACTACAAAAAGTATTTATGAAATTAACGAAAACAAACCAATAAACTTTTGAAAGGAATGCACTATAGGTTGCATCTCTGTTGTTATTATTGCTGCTGTTGCTGCATGGACTGTAATTTCCGCCTGAGAACGACGACCAACCTATGCTGCCTGAAAAACACAACAAAAACTAGTTCGAAAACTCAAAAAATGAATTAATGTATGCTAGAGAATTCTATTTTTTCATTACCATTCGTCGGATGAGCTCACTCCTTTGAACATTAAGTTTTTTCCGCGCCGTGGAAAACATATTAGACCACAGAAATGTAAAATACGCTTCAAACTGAACCAACAACTCAAATTAAATCACTCTCTATTCATCAACAGTTGATACAAACTTTGTACATCAAGGTTCAAAATTGACAAATTTCAGTAGGAATTGTAAGGATCGAAGTGAAAGTAAACTATTCCAATTCAATTAAAAAAATTAGCACAATGCGAGCTAAAATCTCAATCAAAATATACACAGCGTGACTAACTAACGAGGTTATAGAACTGACAACTAATTACAGGTCAGATCAGGTCAACATGCAAGGGATAAAAATTTCTAGGGCCCAATTACTACAGTAACCTGTAGATCCACATTTGTCAAGCGGTCACAGTAACCTAAAAATTCTATGGATCATTTTACTTTTGTGTGCAATCGGAACACATTACTGATGCAATAAAAAAATCCAGTCATAAATTTATTGTTGATTTTCTTCAAGGACGATCGGATCAAGCATCACCATAAAATAATTCTTATGAAATGAGATGAATGAATAGAAATAAAATTAATGAGGGCAGAATGGGGCCAAATGTGTTAAAGCAAGTGATTTTTTCATGAACATCAAAGGCTGAAGCCGATGGACGTCTATCAAGGATAATCACGGTTAGCTTAACGACTACTTTAAGTACGAACATAATACGGTAAATGTAGGGGGAAAAAGTGTATGTCACGTACAAGAAAAGATAGAAATAGAAAAAAGGTTCATGAATGAAATAAGCAAAACTGATGAAGGTAAAAAGAGATAGCCGAAAATTCGGCGTAAAAACGATCAAGATAGCATTTTCCACTCTTAAAAGAACTATCGTATTTCCACCATAAGGACCATTTAAAATCTTCCCGCTCTGTTTCTGACCCCCCTTGGTGCCCTTAACAAGACGAACTATTGTTGTACTATGTATGTACTGACTTCTTCCTGAAACGACACTTGAAGCTGCTTAACAATAGAATTTTTTCTTTTTTTACATTTATGAGAAAAAATGAAAATGATAGTAGACAGTCAAAAAAAACAAGTTACTATAATTATTTGCCAGAAAGGAAGTGATCAGCTTTATTGCTTGATCTTATATGCTTGTATACATAATGATATGAATAAATGAGGATTGAAAAGTTTCAAATCATTTGCATATCGAAATATCCATATCCAAGGGTATGAGAGTATATTTAAATGCTCATAATTACATATTCATTACCGTACATTTCACTGAGCTAGTATCCTTATTCTTATCATTTTACCTACATATCGTTTGGGAATTTCAATCTTCGTTCCAACCGAAATTTTTTGCATACAATAAAGTAGTTGTTCTCAAAACACCACTGAATATTTTATCAATTCCGACAATCTTTGCAAAATTAATTTAAATATTTCAATCAGTGCCAATCATAAGATTTGTTTACAACCTTTAGACACTTTTGTCATGTTCCACAAGAGGCATAATGCGTAATTTTAGAATCTGGAAAGTCCATCTTATGTCGAACATATTTATAATCCGACTAAATGGTTGCGCATTAAAGAAAGCACCGAAATGGAATATCCAAGTACAGCCCCGCTTCTTAAATCTTCACGCTTCGCAGCAGTGCCCTTCCTGGATAACAAAAGTTTTGAGTACTTGTTAAGTACATGTTAATAAATTTATTGCGAAAAATGAGTATGAATTAGGGACCGACTACCCTTACTTTATTACTTTCTACATTTAATATATATGAACAGTATCGACTTTATTTTGATAGTGAATTGTCCAAGAAAAAAGCAAAAATTTTGGATTACTCTAGGAACAAATCTTTTTGGTGTTCCATCACAAAAAACTTAGGCTTGCAAAGGCCCTTTTTTATTTTTCATTTGGAGTCATATTCACTGTTTTTCTCAGAAAATAAGATGAATATACTTTAAAATAAGGAATGAAACTACAATTCATTGTTTTGCTCCAGTATTTTTCTAAATTTTCTATCAAATTCTATGACAAATAAAAAGAAATCTTTGATAGGTGGCATGTTTCTTGAAATATAAGCTCTTCTTTCACCAAAGAAAGTTGGATTAGCGCAACCAGGAGACATGTTAGGCTAAGAAATTAAAATAAAGCTAGCAGTTCTCGAAGAATACTTTTCTTCCACAAGTTACATAACTTTGAGGATGTGTTTCCGTACGGGACAAATACTCTATTGATTTCTTGACTATCGCGTGCAAATTACATTACGTAATCAGTGGACGTTTCGGTCACTTCGTTAATCGACCATTAATGGACGGTGCTATGGGAAGTGCGATATTTTCAAGTTAGTCTCAACTAAATCCGGTCTAAATCTTCTGAAAGCGAGTGAGTGCTGTAAGCAATCAGTCAGAATTGTCGTTAGGTTTTTTGTGTTTGTTCAGATTATGAGCAGCTGTTTCGATTTTAACTATGATTATTATAGCATCAAAGTATAAAATCAAATCACAAGCTGTTTTATCATTTATTTTCTCATTTACTTAAACAGCTAACAGTTAGTGAAGACAGTAATGGAACAAGAGATTTCGACTTTTATCATTCATTAATTAGCACAATAAAGACAAGTAAGCTTTGAATATATAGGCTTATAATTCACATATTCTTATTAGTACTTCTATCATAATGATGTCCTGCCAGGAACAGAGAGGAAGAAAGAAAGAAAAAAGGTAAAAGCGATATTCCACTGAAACGTGAACTATAATATATTTGGGAAGAGTTGGTGAAGGATAATATGTTGTGTAAACATACTTCATTTGGGATATAGATGAATGAATGCATGAATAAACGGGAAGGGAAGTCAGAAAACACCTGTGGTATAGGGGTCAAATCCTTCTACATGCGTGGGAACACCAAATCGAAGAAAAAAAGTTGCAGCTAAACTTAAACCACAAACATGATATGTAAATAAGATGAGAAGCAACTTACTTAATACGAATTGCGAGTTATCAATTAATTAGAAGTTAAACTTGATCAAGATGTGAGACAGAAAATAGAAAACTGATTTAAGACAGAAATGTTCGGTTCAAATTTTATGAAATGTAAATGCTATAGTAATCTACCAGCAGATTCCGACTGCAAATTACAGCCTTAACGGTAAATATGCGAACCCACATTAGAATCTAAAGAAAATATCCAGAAGCTATAAATAGACCCTGAAAGTTGCCATGATATATTGTTCAGTAACAACATGAGGATCACGTGGATTTCCTGAAGATGGTCTCAGTTGCTGTTCCGCAGACAAAAGATCTTTTGATATACTGTATTGCTTTTTAGAGACATTTTCCGCTATGAATGTTTGATTTTAGAGAAATCTAAATTATTCATCTGAAAATTATTTAGCAGATCAAGACGTAACGAGACTTACATTTCGATATCTTTCTTCAATTTCTTATTTTCTTCCGCTAGCGATAATTGTAACACTCCATCGGTTATTTCACTTCCAATTCTTTTACGAGGTGGTGGTGTGGGAATGTTGCATACTGCCTTCAACCTTGAAACTTGCTGCTTGAGAATATATGAGACATAAACAATGTTTAATATGATATCACAATTGAACAATAAATTTCCAGCAGATGTCATCATCCGGTTAGTAATCCTGTCCTGGAGGACGTAAGGAACAAAAATTTAAAAGCAAAATGGAATATCTTCAAGTAACAACTTAATTTTATTGACTCAAAAATGTATTTCTAGAGCTCACAGAGAAGTAAGCAAAATCTTGAAACCTGGACAAGTTACCCTCCGATTCGTTTAATCTTTTCTCAATATCCGGTTCTTCTGATATTTGCTTGCTCCCTTCCATTTCTCGCTGTATCTCACCCATTTCTTTTCGTATCCTGAAATTTGATGATACCCTAAATAAAAGGACTTCTGATGTATAATAAAACATATAAGATATTAAACATATCTTAAACATAAACATTAAACATACAACATATTAAACATATCTGCCGAAGGTCAACAAATGTTATTTTAATTAGCAATCGTATTGCCACTGAAATATTGTACTAAATAAAAGGATAGTCCCAATGCAAAATAAATCTCATGTTTATGTTTAAGATATGTTTATACATATACATACAATATACAAAAACTCTTATCATGTTCCCTTGTTTCAAATATTTTCTTTGTTTATTAAATTAACCTTTCGTTTTGACTTCGTAATTCTTCATTCTCATCCTTCACCCTCTTCATTTCTCGTTTCAGTATTTCCTCTTGATTATTCGACTTTATTGTCCACTCTTCGTTACACCGCTGCAACCGTCTCTCGTAATCCTCCGTAAGCTTTCTCAATTCCTCTCGATTTTCTTGCGGTAGCAATTTCTCCTCGTATTCCCAACGTTCATCATGCTTTTTTAACAATCCTTCCATTTGCTGATTTTGCTTACTCAGTTCTTCATCTAATGGATTATGTTCCTTTAACAGTTCGCTCGTCAGGCGAGCATTCTCAGCCATTAATTCGCTTAACTAAAATAATTCAGTCAGAACTGAATTGTTTATTTCTACATCAATAAACTGTGTGGTGATTCTAAAAACATCTTCAACCAATGTTGTTACACGATTACAGGGAATGCTGTGAATAATTATGTATTTCCTAGAAAATATGACATATTTGATTACTTTTGTGAACCTATAAGTATGCACTTCTTCTAGCAAAAAGAGAGATTTTTTGAAAGCATGGTTATTAAAATGATTATAAATATAAAGCCAATCAATAATTTGCACTTTATTATTACCTATCTTTTGGAAGGCATGAAAAAAAGATATCCGATTAAAAAGCTCATTACAACATCTTCGCATTTACAAAGTATCGTGCATATGAAAAATTTTTGAGTTCTATCTTCTTAGGTTTTCACCTTTCTTTTCATTTTTGGTGAATCCTCTTTTAGTGTATTTCTTGTTTTCAGTGTGTCGAGTTCATTTTTGAGCTGTTCAATTTCGCTCAGAAGGTGCACTTTCTCGATACCTAAAACTGAATTAAGACATTTACAAAAATGGAAATTTCACTATTATACGAACGAATCCGACGACTCTCTGAGATATCCAGGTCTGAAGGAACTTCTCATCAACGTTCTTAAATACGGTAAGGATGTAAGGAAGTATATTTAACAGATATTCTAAGAACAAAAATTGTCTCTTTCAGATTAGATCAACCCTTTAATGCTTCAATCCACTATAACTAAATGAATATCATGATATAACAATTCACTATAAATACCACACTTCAATCCACTATAAACATTATAACGAACCTAAATCGATAATTCGTTTTCGTTCAACTTCGAGCTCATCAGTAAGCCTTTTGATGTTGCCAATGAATGTTTCATTTGTTTTAGTTAGTTTTTCAAGTTCTATTTTGGCACCTTGCGCATCCGCTTCGCTCTTCTTGCATTCCAATTTCCACTTTTCCTAAAAAATTTTCATAATAACCAGTACTGTTTTCGGTCATAAATACTTAATTCAAGCAACAATGTCCGTAGATTTAATCTTATAGTTTCGAGAATTTTAATATGGTTTTTACTGTTCATAGACATGAATTTCAATATAAAAGCATCTTCAGTTTCTTAAAATTGTCGTGGAGAGAACAACAAAGAGAGAGAGAGAAACAGCGGGAGAGAGAGAGAGAGATGTACTTAGCTTCAGGCAAATAAATCATTATTACAAAGGAAAATACTATGGACTTCATAAGACATGACAGACTGTGTTTTCGAGCAGCTATTAAAATCAAAAAGGTATGACTGGACCTCGACGGTCTGAGTTTGTTGGCGCAAATCACGGAGCTCTTGTTGCTGATCTCTTTCCAAGTCTTGATCACCCTTAGCTTGAACTTTTAATCTTGCTAATTCCCGAGCTTGACGCTCACCTTCCGCTATCGCTTCATCTAGCTGTTGTCGAGTTACTTCTAGCTCTGTCCGTTCACTGTAAAAGAAAAAACCACTCAGATCTAAGATCCTCATATTACAAGTTTCCTTCATGAGAAGAAAGGATCTTTCCTCAGCAGAAGGATATTCTATAGCGTGAGATAACAGTAATGCAGCTATCCCTTCAGAAGAAAAATTCCTTAGCGATCAGCACAAAATTTAATAAAAAATTTATAGTTTACAGGTAGGCAGTGTGACACAGAAAGAGTTAGCGACAGCGAAGCGGGAGTAAAGCTCGGAAATTCTAAAAAAAGATTACTTTTAATTTGAACTTTAAACTTTCCGCAAATTATTCATAAAATGACAAGCTCTGTAATTAAGCGCGTTGAAACGATGAGCATGATAACACGCAAAAAGTATGATGCCATTGAATAAATAAGTAAAGCATGATAAATACTACTTGTGCTGTTTAAGAAACCAACAACAGATAACACAGTTAACATTTAAGTAACAGGGGGGAAAGTTAATGAGTTCAATTGTTTTTTAATTTTAGTGAAGCAAATCTGAAGCAAAAATTACGGATGCGAAATTTTAATCAATCCACGGCTTTAAGTGATAATATAGAGATATGAACTGAGGAAGTTAAAAAGTGAACGCCAACAAATTACAACCAAATGTAGATGTTGCAGTAAAGTCTTATCAAAATAGCATCAGCACTGTTGACAAGTGAGTAATAAATTAGCAGTAAGTTAAAGGTAGAAGCATGTTGCAACAAATAAATACGCCTTTTCTGCGATAAAAATATTTCAGATAAAGAGAAATAACAAATGAAAAATGTTAGTAGCAAATCGGAACTGCTGACGGGTGAGGATAGATGAACGTTTTCTCACTTAACAAATATCAAAAGGGAATTCATATAATTACCGCGACAGCCATTCCATTTCCTTCAGTCGTTCGAATGCTTCTGTTTTCAATCGTTCTTTCTCCGTATTAGCGATATTTAAAAAGTTTCTTAAATGGTTCACTTCTTTTGACAGATTCTCAGATTGCTCTCGCAATCGATCCATTTCTGCCTCTGATAATTTACAGGCCTGACGAGCTTTATCCAGTTGTTCATTAAGATCCTTCACTTCCTCAACGTGCTTTTTAGTATTTTCATTTTCCACTTCAACAAGTTGCTCCTTTAATTCCGTCAACTTTGCTTTCAGTGATGAACATTCATCGAGAAGGTTTTTATTTTCAAACTCGACTACTCTGTTTCTTTCTTCCAAACGATTGCTTTCTTGAAGACGTGTTTTGCAAGATCTCATATCGTTTATTAAATTTTCAATATCTTTCTTCAAACTAACAATGTCCAAATCTCTCTGGTCTACTTCGCGTTTATGATGTTCTCGGCATTCTTGGACATTTACTAACTCCGTCTTTAATTTTTCAATCTGTTCCTCAAATGGATTCAAAGATTCTTTGGTTTCAAGTTCATTGCTCTTTATATCTTTTTCCGTTTCTTTAATCAAATCCAAAATTTCTTTATTTTCTTGCACAGTCGCTTGTAGCACTCTGATATGCTTCTGAAGGTACTTACTGTCCATTTCGTCTTCTTTTATTTGTTTTTTCAAAAAAGCTAACTCCGCTCTTAGACTCCAAACTTCACTATTTGATTTGGACATCCAAATTTGTTCAGTGGTAGTGCCACAACTCCTGTTTGCATGATTACATTCGTCTCGTTTTAGCAACAGACTATCTTTATCTACACGCTTCACTGTTTCTTCTTCATCGTCGTTATTCACGGAAATGATATGTCTCCCCTCCTCTACTTCCGTCTTTGTTTGAACAGCTTTGTTGACCATTATTGGTTGACAGTCATTCTGTTCGAAAAATAATTTTTCCTCAAGTACATCAGCTATGCATTCTTTTAAAGTAGCCAATTTCTCCTCGAAATCAGATCTTGGACTCAAATCCAGATCTTGTGCCTCTCTGCTTTGAAATTCACGATGTTGATTAATTCTGAAAGGTGCAACACTGCCGCCCTTGACAGCTAATTCCTTCCTCAGATTCATCATTACAGCATTGAGCTATAAAGTAATGAAATTATGCATTAATAACACTGTTCCAGCAGAAACCATAAAAAACTCATACATTACAAAGAATTATATGAATAGAAGATCACTGCACTATATTAACAAACATTTACTTATTATACGCAAAAAAATGAAAGAGTCCATTAATAACAATTGATCAAACAACAAAAACTGTGAGCCTATAGAATCTAAAAAGAATGAGCTGCTTAAAAGTGGAAGAAAAATTTGGCAGTACGCAGAAAACCAGAAATAAAGCAACTAACTTGGAAGTAACTTTTTTGCAAAACATAAATAAAAGTATTTTTACTAAATCCATTCCCCTCTTTTAGCCTAAAATCCACATTTGAAAGCCTTATAGCTATGACCATTAAGATTTTTTTTCTTTTTTTGTAACTGTCAGCTTACTTCATCAATTTTACCGCTTTCAGAAGCTTTCAATCTTTCCACTTCTTTATTTAGCTCAGTAATCTGCTGTTCGTGTTGCTGCTTTGCATTAATTAACATTTTCTGATATTTCGATTCTAAATCTCCAAGCATTCTCTCCTGTAAAGCAAACAGTGACATCAAATTTTTAAGATTTAGGAAAAATAAATCCAATAATATAAAAAAGGTCCCTTAACACTTCAACCTATCTATTCCTTATTACAAATTAGTGACATTTTTTTGGAACAAAGGTAAAACCTTGTATATGTCGTTTCAAGTCTATAATTTAGTGAATTTTTCATACCTTTTCAATCACTTGTTCTTCAAGTTTCGAAATTTCATTTCTAAGCTCAACCAAAATGAGGCCATTCTCCTGCTGCTGAACACTTTTGTCACTCTAAAAAAGAAAATAATTCAAGAACTTCATGATTCATTTAATAAAGGAATGGACTTTTATCTAGTATGCCCTACGAAAAAAAAAAACCATCAGCATCAGTTATGTTTTATTAAGCCTTTTCTTCAATATACATATATTGTATTTCATTTGCCCTGATCAAGGTTTTTTAATTTCAAAGTGAATAAAATTAAAATGATAAAATTTTAATTAAATTTGTTGTTTACCTTACATTTTTCCATTTCTTTTCTCGCTTCATCACCTTCAGATCGAGCTGATTGAGCATCTTGTTGCAATGTTTGAGTTTGTACATCAACATCCATCAACAAACGCTCATTTTCTTCATGTACCTCACGCAATTCCTTTCGGAGTTTTGCGATTTCATCATGCTTTATACTAAACTTACTTAAAATTGATTACAAATGCCCAGACCAAAATTCGTTTCAGTATTCGGCATAATATTATAAAGTTAATCACATCGAGACTTTGCAAATACTTTCCTCATGACAATCTGACACATTATGCCAACCATTCTAGGTCTCGGTGTTCAGAGTTCGGCATGAAATCTAAAAATTCACTTGCTTCGACTGAAGTTGGTTAAAGCTGAAAACTGGACAAACCTGATCTCATCGCGAGCTGACTGCAGTGAAGTAGCTAAGGTGAGCACTTCATCTTCTAAACTTGCTTTCGCTAGCAGCTTCTCATTTTCAGCTTTGAATGTCTCCAGGATTGCATTGGTATCAATGAAAGCAGCACGAACTTCCTCAAGTTCCTTCATCAGCATTTCACACTTCCTTTCGTATTTTTCGCTGAATTTAGAAATAAAGATGATATAAGTGAAGATCGAACAGAAATTTTGTTTCGAAATAATTCAGTAATAAACAGTGGTACTTCGTGGCAAAATTCGTTTCGTCATCAAACTTCTCCTACCTAGTTTCTTGACTTTTCATCATTTCCTGTTCAACCATTAACAGACGTTTGCTCTGTTTCTTTTCATCAATTTCTAGAATTTTCAGTTTTTCTTGGAGAGACCGAACTTCCTCTTCGAGTTCATCAATAGTTTCCCGAGAGGAACGTTCTGCTTCCTGGAAACAGGTTTTGGACAGTAGGGAAAAATGGCAAGTAACTTGTTAATACTATTATTAGCTTATAGTATGCAATATTCAATTTATTACAACATATTCGTCTAACCTCATCTTACTTAATTCACTTAATTTTTTTAATTAATTACTTAATTCAGTCTCCAAGTATGAAGTTAGATCATATTAATCTTGAAACTTATTATCAAACCTGAAGGATATATTAATCTGACTGAATTAAAGAAGCTGAAATAAAGTTTAAGCTCTAAAAGAGCAAAAATAAAAGAAAAAGGAATTTTGCACAAGAAAAGCGTTCTACCAATGAATAAGAGTTGGATAAGGTGATTGATACAGAACAGATCTAATTTATAAGGATTATCTACCTACATCAGCATCTGTTTCAGCTTTTTCTAGATCCGCAGCCTGAACAGTTATCTTGTGTTTCGCCTGTTTTAGTTCTTCGCGCAATAACCGCATCTGAAATAAGTTTCTTGTGCACCTCATTCGATGGGCTATTCAATAATCCAGTTGATAATATAAAGCCATCGGTGGATCACTCGCCGCAACTATTCTAAACTCATCTCTTTTAGGTTTTTTTTTTTNTTTTTTTACCTCACATCATTCTGTGGTTTCCACTTGACTAAGTTAAACTTACCACGTATTTGTTATTAATATTATGAATGTATTG